TCATCTTAACATGGATCTCAATGTTGTTTAGTCTGGGATACCAATATGTCTGTTAGACCTCAGAATGATTTGGCTTCTGTGTTTATAGTTGCTCCTATTTTTAGGTCCATTATCAAGCATCTCAGCCTGTTTCTGTGCAATGGTGTATCCCAGCTATTGTAGTCTGTTCCCCATTCTCTTAATGACAATACCAATGACTGTCTTCTGTTTGCGTGTTCAGATTAAAAGGCTCATGTGAAACTTTGCAAAGTAATGTGAAATCAAGGGTTTTTGGTTTTGTTTTTTTTAATGAGGGGAATTTTTAAAAGTCTCTTCCTTTTCAGTATAGGATGGGAGACGTTCATTTCTTAGCAATTTGGCAACACTGTATTAATAATTCATTTCTATTTGCAAGGCTAATTTGAAATCCTCAGATCAGAAGGCTTGTTTGTTTTATGAAGATTGTGAACAGCCAATCTGGTTGTCTGCAGGTTAAAAAATTTAAACTATTTTGTATCATCTTTGGATGTCTTTATCGTTTGTTGAGGTGTTGAAATGGGCATCTCCTTCGACCTTCCCTCAAGCTGAATTCTATATTTTACTCTAGGATTTTGTAAAAGAAAATGGTCACCTTTATGAAGAAGGTCACTTCATTCCTGAGGATTTTTTTAGGCACTTTAATAGTACCATTGAGGTCTACAAAGAGTCTGCGGACACATTGGATGAGAATGACTGCATTCTGCCTTCAACAGTAAAAACACCAGAGAATGGTAAGACAGGTCTCCTTTTAGGAAGCAGAATTTAAGTAGATATAAATGTATGATTTTCCTTGGATTTCAGAGATGCTAAGGATTTGATACTGTGTCTCCATGTCCTTTATATTGCAAATTAATTACTGACCCTGAAGATTGTATTTCTGTCCAAAGCTGAGTTCTAGCRCCATCATTCCTAGAGGCAAAATTCTTCAGTATAATCAAAATAACCTCACATTATGCTGCTCTGTTTCTGTTCATTCAAAATATATGCTACAGTCTTTTTACATTGTTCTTCTTATCTCCTTTTAATGCTCTATGTAGTTTTTATAAGGCAGTAAAAGAGCCTAAGATTGTACAAGTGAAAGGAGAGGAAGTTAGGACAAGCTATAAATCACAGCAGCCTCAAGTCATCTTCATATTCACCCTGCTTTTCCTGAACTGGGCAATGTTTACCTCCTTTAGAAATTTTAACAAGCTCGGGTCAGGCTCCTGCAGCTCTTTCTTATCCTTCCAGTGAATAGAGGGCTTGTATTACCTTTTCTTTTACTCTCTCTAGTGACAGATACTAGCTTTTTAATTAGGGCAATATGTCCAGTTGTACAGTTACATCAGCAGTAACTAGAAGCAGAGCAGTGCAGTAACCTACAAACTTGTTAGCAGCAGCTGCTTTTCCAAATTAGCTATTCAGCAGCAGCTCAGCATGTAGACACTTCTGCCTCTTAATAAAACTGCCTTTTTTGGCTTAATCCACTTTATAAACAGCCCTACAGCTGATTTTTAAAACAGCCCTGTGGCCACATCAGAGTAGTCCAATAAACCATCGTCGTACATAGAGGGAACTGTATTTTAAGTTTCATAATGCTGACCCATGCGTTTTCTATTTAGATTCCAGAGTCGCTGTCACAAAAACATTTTTGTTTCCTCCTGTTGCTGCCAGCTCTCTTAGGAATGACAGCACTGGCAGTAGCACTAGCAGTAACAGTAAGTACAAGTGATTGAATATATGTGTCTCCTTTTGTTCTGGTTGTTATGAGAGCCCAGAGGAAAAGAATGTCATTAATTGTGCAAATTAATGGGAAGTTACACATTCCTGATGGTGTACCATGTGTTTCTCAGCTGTCATACTGAAATGCAATGAACTTAACTAATCAAAATGTCGAGATGCAATCGAGTTACAATTATGTGACAGCTCTCTAACTCTTGGAGAGGGCAGGCCTCTTCGTTTTGGCTGTCATGAGGTCTCACTAGTCATATGGCCTCAGCAAATTTGGCTGTCCCAGCGCCTCATTTTAACTCTCAGAAAAGGAAGTTGCTCCAAGTGAAGAGGAAAGCTATCCTAAATTGGATGAGGGTACTCACGTGGACAAAGGGGATACCTATACAATGCATTTTGAGAGTACTGTCAATCCCAAGATTTACGCCAGCCCTGAGGACAGTCCCTGAGTTTGCTGTAGTCACAGTAGGGCCATCTCCACAGTCAGCATGCTTTTGCTTGGGGTCAGTGACAAAGTCACTACCCTTCTGGCAGGATGTCAGCTTCTCTCTGGCATGCTCATCTCCATGTTTCTTACGTGTCTTGGTTGTTGTGTAACATGACTGGTCCCTGATAAGAGTCCAGAATGGTTGCTGTAAGAGCCTCAACATTACCTGTCACAAGGCCTGAGGTGGAAGGAAACTGTGAAGTTTCAGGGGCTTTTAGTGACATCATCTATAACAAGGCGAATTCTGTCTGCAGCTTCCCATGTGAAGAAAAGAAGGGGATTTTCCTTAGGGGTTCCTGAAATGGTGATCAAAGCTTAACCTTGTTGTTTCCTTGTTCCTGTTTCCCAGACACGTCATGATGACAATGTGTATCTAGCTCTCTTTAGAATTTCCCCTTTTGACTTCTCAAGCATCTCTGTTATCTGAATTCGTGATGATAAAKTGTGTGACTGGTACTCCCTGTGCTTGAGAAAACATGTGCTAAGGGACAGTCTGATGGAGCCTGGTGGGCACAATGGTAGCTCCTGATGGTGACACAATTGCTACTCAGACAGAATTTTTTTTCATGCTCCTTCTCTTCAGAATGTATAATCTAGTTACACTCTGGGTTTCTAGAACCATGCATGCTACCTTGTAGCTGGTTCACAGCTGCTATCAGATTTGAAGCCCTTCTTGATTGCTTTCTAATTAAGATTAGGTCTTAAGTCATCATAGCCCAGAATCCTCAGAGTAGAAGGAATTAAAAAACCCCCTCACCTCCTGGCTGCCAGCCTGACTCTCAGGAAAAGAGAAGCCTCACTGCCATAGATTCCTTGCCAGGAGGTCACAGAGCTGTCTACAAATAACCTGATGAGCCCAGGGCCAACTGTGAGGCACTAGGAGGGGGTTAAAGAATGCATACCTGTCTCTCTCTCAGGTCCGAACATGTGATAAATTTTGCTGTCACTGCTAGAGGAAAAATATTCAGCCACAGCCTGAAGCAATGGGAATGGATCAAGAAGCCAAAAGACAGACATTACAGGAGCAGTTCAGATGAAAGCAGTTTTATCCAGTACAGTAGCAGGAGGGATGCTGGGCAGTGCAGTGGAGTGTGGCACCTGTGTCTGTACTGTGGAGCAGAGTGCAGAAGSAGGATTATTAATCTTGTTTCATAATTGGAACTGATAATCAAGTAGGAAAAAAGCCTAATTAAAATAATGCAGTAATTGCATTATTGAAAGAAATTGCTTGGCTACCATATGCCGTACAGGTGTGTTTTAACTGATTATCATTCTCTTAAGCAATTTATTAGAAAATTGGATATCAGTTAACAGCCTTATGTAGAAATTACATGAGAACTGCATGTCTGGGGCTGGGGACAGTTTGAACTCATAATCAGATTAAATTACATTAATTTGGATGCTGACTGGTTGCATTGTAGTTATTCTTTAGAGGGTTTTTTTGCAGGGAGGAAGTTGTAGAATCTTTATTGACATAGTGGTTTTACTCCCTGAAATGGCCTTCAGTGCCAGTTTTTTTTTGTCTTGGCTTTATTGCTGAGGGAATTTTGATTTTTGTTAATCCTTACCTTCTTGGAAGGAACAACAGTGAATAAACCTTATTGTACCCCATGTGAAGAGTCCCGAACACAGCATTCTCCTGGCTTCAGTACTGTTCTCAGAACAGCACCACTAGATTCTAATTTGAAAAAGGAAAACATTGAGAAGAAGGGAAGCCTGAAAAAATGCATTTCCAGACACAAGCTACCATGTTTTGTTTTGGTTTTTTTTTAATTAACCCTTTAATTTCAAATAATTTTAAATTGAGCTGATTTTAGTTTAATAGTTCCTAGAGCATTTAGAAAAGTTCAGTGTTGCCTTCTTCCATTTTTGTCAGTAATTTCCTCACAATAATTTAGCCCTATTATTTAGTACTGAGCAGCTCAAATAAAGTGTAAACACAGAACTCTCTGTAAATGTTTTGCGGAAGAAGGTCTCCTTTTCTAATTAAGCAAAAAAAAMCATAGTTTAATTCAATAATTGCACAACAATTTGAAAATATTCATCTATGGCTTGATGCAATTGGTGTTGCCTTCTGTGCCTTTGTTCCAACTTCATAGTTAATGGAAAACCCTAATGAACAGGTGAGAGCTGCTCTGCATTTTACAGATAAGATCTTGTGGTAACTGTGTTGGAACTGAGCACAGGTAAGCTGAAAATTCCTTTGAGACATACATGGCAAAAAAAGAAAATGGAGCCAGTGCTTTGAATCATAATCACACATGGCTCAAGGTAGGAAGTAGCTCAGTAACTTCACTGTGTGGCTGAGTGGCTTTTAATGGGAATATATATTGGTCACAGATTAACATCCCAATGTCCATGAAGACTATGCCTAAATCAGCATCAAATGAACTCACTTCCTTAGGGAATCTTCCAGGAGATGCAGAATGAGAGCTCTGAGAGATGCTGGCCTGCATCCACTTCCTTTTTCAATTTGCTGCATAGTGTCTTTTTAGAATGAGTAATATACTAGCTGCAAAGCCAACAGTTCCTCTGGTATTGCCCAAAGAGTTCATGAAGTTACTGCTGCACCTGGTTCCTGCTCTTCCTTCTCTTGCTCTGCCTTTACAAATGATGTGAGACAGAATCTTTCTGTGTAGAGCTCCAAAGTTTCTGACAGAGGAAAAGGTCCCTGTGGTAGCCAGCTTGCCTTCCTTCTCTCCCCTTTCTTCATTAGGACAAAAGTCCCTGGGAGGTTCTCCAGACTGCAAATTCTTCAACTTGTTCTGTTTTAGATTTTAATATTAAAAAAAAGGCACATGAAGAAACCTGCCATGACTCATTTCATTCTGCCCTGATCTTTTAAGAGAATTTTTTTCTGGACTTGAAAGTGAAATTAAATAATCTGTTGTTGCTTGCTTTTTAAGGTAGTTATGTGTTACTTAACTTTCAAATTTATTCATACGCTATCAAGTTTTGGAAAAAAAAAAATCTGTCTTCACTTTTAAAAGGTAGTCTGGGGACAGTGCCACAATGGGACTGCATTTAGGCTCTATCCCTGGGTTGCAGGGTATCACAGGGGAAGCTAATTATAAATTCCTTTCAATTTTCTGTAGATGATCAAGAAATCATCTGCATTGGAGATACTTACTCAGAAATGAGATTTTTCTAGTTTTAGATACCTCTTTGTAAAGGGGCCTCTTCTGTTGTCTGAAATTGTGATTAAGTTTGTGAAAAATTAAGTTTGTGGGAAATGCTGTTAAAAACAAAGGTACAAGGCGATCCCTGGTTGCCCTTTATACAGAACATTTCTCTAGAGGTTCATGTAAAAAATATCATGCTTGCCATGACATGCTATCCAGCACTGCCGGTAGACTGAGGGTTTTTGAGTTTATTCACTCCACCATAGCATGTTATCAAATACATTATGCACTACCTGACCTGAAGAGTCTTTCCTTTGATTTTTATTTCACTTTTTTTTTTTTTTTTCTGGAGTAGCTGGATGAAATCCAGAAAACATGGCAGTCCCATGTGATTTACATAATTTAGTTGTGAAACTCAGCAGTCTCTCACTGAGAAAAAATGGCATTAGACAAATGAGGGTTACTTTTTACCTGTCTAGAGCACAAGAACAATATAGGAATTTTCTTCTGAGAATACAATTCAGATAAAGTAACAAGAGCATTTTTTGAGTTGTTCAGGCTGGTTCCACCCCACTTAAGTTTGCCCAGTTTTCTTGAAGATCATCTCTGCAAGCAAACTTTGTGCCTAATCTGGGACAGAAGGTCAGAGAAGTTATGTCCCCCCATTAATTTCTGCTCTTGGCTCTAATGTCTGAGCAGACATGGTCAGACTAATCAACAGCCTCTTCTTTTCAGCTGATGTTCACCTCTACAGAATTTGTCTGCTATCTTTCCCTTCTGTAGACAGATTTCTTTCATGGTAAGCTAGCATCAGTTCTGCTTGACTGATGTTTCCTTTTAGTATGCCAAATCTACCAGATATAAGTGAAATTCAAACCCTACAGTCAGAAACCAGACTTTTTAAACAGTGTATGAGACACAGAGATATATGTCATATATGAATATATAAGATACAGAGTTTATGTTGTCTTACTTTCTATTTCTGTCTACAATGAGCCTAGAAAACACATCTGAATTTCAGAGATAAAAAGAATGTTTGTCTTAAACTTGAAAAATGTCAACCAGAAAATCTCAGACAGCTGAAAATGAATTGCTAGTTAATTATAAGAACACTCCTTTCTAAACTGAAGTATTTTCTTGGAGGCTGTTTAATAATGTACTAAACACATGTTGTTTGACCCAGCATATTTCACATTTGCTGTTTGCATGAGTCACACAAATTTTGAGTGCTGTCAGTTCATTTTCATTTCTGTGCATCCAATCACCTACACTTTTCCCGTGTTTGAAGTTTGGTTCTTGTCCTGTAATCTGTCAATACACCCACCATTCAAGCTGCAGACACCTGATTTGAAATGAACCAAACCTGGGTGGGTGATGTCTGAACTACTGGTCTCCTGTGGTTCACTTTGCATTTTAGAAGGACAATCCCCAGGTGACTCTGAAGGCCCTTCCACATCTTGSTCTTGATGAAATAACTGAAGGTCCAAATTTTAGTCTCAGTATGCATGCAGTTCCCTGTGAGGGGAATGGAATTTTTTGTGTACATAAAGAGTGTGATTGGTGCTCTTCTGTATAAAATGTTAAAAGCTATCAAGAAATGCTCATAACTAAATAATGCACAGTTAAACCTCAAGGTACAAGTGTTTGATCTTGCTGAAGTCAGTGGTATCTTTCCAGGAAGATATTACAAGTGAGAAGGCTTATTCTGTTAAGTTAACCTCCCTGGAGATGCCTCATTGGTCATTGATTAGAGCCAAGGCAAAGTGTCAGCGGGGGCTGTCTAATGGAACTCATGCAAATGCACAAATTGATATATTCTTTTCCAAATAGTTTGTGTTTCAAAGTAAGACCTTCAAAATTTAATAAATCTAATATTTTGTAGTGTGGGAAAGAAATAATTCTCTTCAAATGATGCAAAAAGAACTAATGTTGGTACTTTTCAACACAGTTTCAGAAGTGGGTGGAGCATCCCTGTGGTCAAAAAATTTCCTGTAAGGTTTTGTGTGAAGTGCATCTCATGCACATTGCACTTTGAAGTATCTGTTCTGCTATTTAAGATTTTGTTATGTAGGTGGTGCACGAAAGTGCTCTTGCTAACAGTGTTGCCCTGAAGATAGTTTTCTGCTATAAATCTGTCTTCACTAATGAGAGTATCTTTAATTACAGAAGAAGCACTTGGCTTCATTAGCAGCTCCAGCCTGCAAGGGATCACCATAGCACTGACATCATTGCTGTCTCTCCTTATTGGCTTTATTTTGGGAGTCCTGTACTGGAAGGTAAGAGATCCTACATATAACTGTTTACATAGTGATTTCTTAGCTGTGGGGAGGTGGGAATAACAGAACCATTCTGTATTTGAAAGCAAGAGATACCTCTTTTGATCTTAACTGTGACTTGCAGATGTAAATCTACGCGTCAAATTCTTGAATTCCAGCATCAAAGTGCAAAGCCTGTTTTATCAGCATGATCACTCTCTTATTGGACACAAAAATTGTGGGATTCACCCAATTTTCCATTTCTCCCATTGTATATTGAGAAAGGAATTTTTTTTGCTTTTGCCCTCTATGCCACTGCCAACAATACAAAAGCTTCGATAGTAAAATCATGTCAGTAGCACAGGATAAGATTTGGCCTACATTTTGCAAGATGACTTTGATATTGAAAACCTGAGGCAAAATGAAAGGTACAATTGTTTAGGGAGATACTAAGGAAAGCTTTACAATATTTATATTTAGTACATTTCCTTCCTAGAAAATACATCCCAAATCCAGACCAGAAAGTGATGAAACTACACAGTGTCATGACKGTCAAGAGGAAAATGAGATAAGGTATATTATTTCACTTTATATTTGTGTTTACAAGTGAAATTTTGTCTCTTAGAACTACTTCCTGTTTTTCTCTAGCTCTGTTACAAACACAAAAAAAGCCCCAAACACAAGGTCTTGCTGCAGAGGTAAAATATGTGCTCAGAACGTGCCCTTTAAAGGACTTTATGGTTTAAACATAGAAGTTGATATGGAGAATATTTCTGCATACAGCATTTTGTTAAGGGAACATTACTTTGTCTTTATTCCCACCGTGAGAAAGGATTGCTGGGAGTATTGGGGAAGCAGCAAAATAAATGTTATTTGCTTTGTGGTGTAAAGCTAGTTTAATATTATGGAAATAAATAGAAAGCAAGGCCTTTCTGGTTGTGCTCCTAAATCCTTTTAAATATTTGTTTTGCTATAACATTTTTTTATATTCTTTCACTTTTTTACATTCCCCAGGATACTGTGTTTTCTGTGTTTGGGTTGGTTTTTTTTTTAATGTTTGTAGAAAGTTGATGAGAACTCATTCAAAAGCTAATAACCTCCTAAGGTCATCCTGAAATGATTCAAGGCTCTGCTCCTACTTATACACTACTTTATCTGTTTTTTAAACTAAAAGTTCTCAGCCAATCAAATATGCCTTAGAAATAACAGTTTGAGGTTTTGAAGTGCCTTGGACATGACTTGGGAAAGGAATTTTATAAAATCCAGGAAAGGATTTAGGGACATTTTAAGTTAGAATAGTCCATGCTAAAGCATCTTGAGGGTATTGTTTAACTTCATGTTTCATGAAGTTTGGTCAGATTTTAACTATGAATGATTTAGGGAAAGATCTGCTGCAGGTGGCAGAAGGACACATTCTGTAGTGCTCTCACACTGAGTGAAATGCCTGGTGCTGCCTGCCATTGAAGGAAGAAATAGGCAAGGTTCTCATCTAGCAGTTTGGTCACAGGAGCTGAAATTTTCAGGGTTTAAGCTTGCTAATGTAATAAATTCTTAAAACAAATTTTCTTCCTATACAGTATGTATAGTGGAACACTGTATTCATTTCACCTGGTATATTAGTAGCTACAAATAACTCATTCTACACCTCATTCTCATAGGTGTTAACACCTGTGAAATGGAACATATATCTTCCTTTTAACTTCATAGAAGATGTAAAACATTATTTTATATGAAGAAAATAGGAAAAAATTAAATGCAGGAGAATGCATTAGCAGGAACTGAAGCAGATTGCATTCTCCATCAGATGTCTTCTTAAATATATGATGTGTTTTGGCATATATGGCATAGAGGATTATTGCAAATTTCTCCTCCCTGAAAAATTAGGAATATTCATCTATAGGTAGGAATTACTAATATCAAGCATAAGTTATAATTCTTTGGATTCCCATTTATTTTACCTAACTTATAAACCCTTCTATTTCCATGAAAGACAAGTACTGTAGTAATAGAGTACCTTTTTTTTTTTCCCAGTATCTTGCAGCAAAAAGAAAAGGAACATCTACAAGTGTAGCTGTTGCTTTTTCTCCCTCAACACTGTTACTGTTTCGTGTACTGGTAAGTATTTATGGTGAAAGTCTTCCCATACACTTAACTACTTTCATCTGCTGCAATATAAAGCGATTCAGAGTACATTTTGGGGAAAAAATAAATCTTGCTATCAGTAGGCTTCATTTGTGAATAAGATTTTTAGAAGCTTATTTAATTAATCCTGTATCATTATTTTAGAACCTTGGATTTTTAACTTAAATGCTTCAAAATGAARTGTACAAGGATTCCCAAATGAAGGACAGCTACTGCTTCTCCTTTTTGGTGTTACAAAAAGCTGATACACAGAAGCCTTCAGCTGTTGTACTACAGCTTTTTCAAAGCAGTATGARCTACAAAGCATAGTCTGGTAAAAGTAGCAGGTGAGTGTAGGAGAGCAGGCCAAGTAGAGCTGAGCTTTTATTAACTGTACCTTAGTCAGCACATTTTGTACTCTCAGTAGCCTTATCATTCTTGCTTTAGTCGGTAAGAGTGAACAGCAAAGGTGAGTGAGGTTTCTCAGTCCCAGCTGTCCTCTGCAGAATAGTGCACTTCTCTGGCAAGAGGCTTCCTACCACAGAAACTGTGCTGCATTTAACCCATGGTCTTTCTGAAAAAAATAAATTCTGGTCTGGAAAATTCAGTATGACAGCCAATCTCAGTTTTGCAGTTCATCCTGTACCAGTAACTCTCAGGTGTTTGATGTGATTGAGTTAGCTACAACTTGAGAGATTTTCAGTCTCCTTAATGGCTTTGCTCTTATATCTGCTCATTGAGAAGGAAAGTTGTCACTGGACAAGGTGTTCCATTTTTCCAAAGCTGCAAAATCAGTTTGATATTGACTTGTCCCCATTACTTCAAAGGGGAGTTTGCTGCCGGAAATTGCCGATGCCAAAATGCACAAACATAACAGTTCAGTAAAACCATGAGATTTGTTTCATTACCATAGATGACATCAATAAGCTTTTGCAGGCAAGTGTGTTCTTGGACCAGGAAAGTACATCTTATAACATTTTTCTCTCCAAGTAAAGAAATCTCTATGCAAGTGTCATTAAATTTATTTCCAGAATTTTAAGAAAAAATCATCTATGTTGTATGTCTGTGAAAAGTTCTACTGTTTAGTAATACAGGGAGGAAAACTAATCAGCAAAATCAAAATTTCTGTTTTTCTCTTCAGGCAGGTAACAGTTCCATGTTCGCTTCATAAATGAAGCAGCTTTAAGCACATTCGTATTCCTTCTGGAGTGACAGACTGAGTCTGCATCTGTTGTTGCTGCCCATGACTCCATAGACATGACACAGAAATGAGGACTATTTGTGTTTGTTACTGTGAAACCAACACTGAATTGAACAATGACAAGAAGAGTGTGCACTTAGCAGGACTGTATCTTATGTGAATATCTACCTTGTGTGACATTTGAGGATTTTTAATTGCATTAATACTTTCAGCTGACTCTGGCACACAAAGTATGTCCTGAACAAAAACGCATCTTTCAAATGCCTCCAACTGTGTGTAATTGTTGCAAGTCATAAATACCTTTGCATCCTTAATTTAAATTCTGTGTCCTCTACCTTACATTGATGTCTTGAGATGAAGGTCTCTGAACTGACAAAAATGCAGGAATGGATGCAGATAACACATTCTTCAATATGGTGTATAAAACTTGAAAGCAAGGTCATGCCATAAGCTCGTGTTCTAGACTTAGACTTATAAGGAGCTGTGTTTATGCCTGTCAAAGTCTGCGTGTGCAGCAACATGTGGTCTCTGTCGGGTGCCAGGTGGCTGGTTGCCCATCCCAGAAAGCCTCAAGAATTCATCAGCGTTGGTGGTCTCTGTTCAGGAGGAGCAAATACTGGATGACGGCAAAGTAAACAGGAGATGAAAGTACCTCATGGAGCTTCGAAGAATTTAGAGTAACTGCTGGGTGTGTGASCACTGGTGAAATTTCCAGCCATGCTAAGGGAAAGTAAAGAGTCTGAATTGCGTTCAAACATCAGAATAAAGACAAACCCATGAAATGCATTTTAAATTCTGAAGATGCGTGCCATTGATACCTTGTCTTTAAATGTATATCTTAAAAAAGCTGAAAAACCCTGAGAGTGTATTTAGCTTTTGCTTACATCAGCTGTAATTAATGTTTGCATTGTTTTTTAAGTGATTAGTAAGCTTTAATATCCTGGCATTCTCCACTCTTGAAGTTTAATTCTTTTGAAACAAAAGAGAAAGGATTTGTTTCCCACTTGTCTTTCTGCATCTGTTGCTGTTATAGCACCCATGGAATATGAACAGGACTGATGTACAGATGTGCATTTTCAAGTAAATCCCAAAAATACCATGGTAAAAGTTACAAGTGTAGTTGTGCATCTTTTCATCTTGTCTCTTGCCAGATAATGAATTATTTACCTGTGTTAGGGGGTTGTAATTCAGAAGGGTAAAGGGTGAAGGGTAAAGGATAAAGGGTAAAGGGTAAAGGCTCACATCTCATGACAAACTGTCTCCTGTCATGATATTGATCAGGTCAGAAAGAGTTTTAGTTTAAGTAACTTGAAAAGTTAAAAAAAAAAACCCCAAAAAAACCAAACCAAGCCTTTTAATGTTTTGCATAAAGTTGGAGTTCTCTTTAAAAGTTATAGTAAGTTACTAAATTTTTTAAGAGTTGTTATGGAAATTTTAATCTTCTGAATTTTATGAGAAACATGCATAAAAAGAATATGTCATACATATAATATATACGTGTGTGTGTGTGGGTGCGTGTGTGTGTGTGCATATTATTGGTAAAACTGTCTTTCATACTTACAAAAAGGAAAAAATCTCAGAACCTTACCATACTTCATGACAAAGCTTATGTGTGCATGTAGCCACACTACGTGAAATCAAAATTGCAAATTGACCCTACTGCAATCAATGTTGAAATTTCTCATTAATTCACTGTACAAGGATTTCATCATGTGGAAATTTGATCTATACTCAGGCCCTTTTTGCACTGTTTGTGAGAAAAGGGTCCTCAAGTGGTATAAATTAGCATATTGCCATTAAGGGTAACAGAACTTTGGGGTTTGCATCATCTGAGGAACTTATCTTAGACTAGATCAAAAGAAGTGTAATGTGAGAATTAGGCCTGCATGCCTAATTCTGGAGCACTCACCAATTAATAATTGCTGTTGCTCATCATTTCTAAAAAGCAAGTGTATTCCTCAAACAATGGAATTCCCCATCTGAAGTTCAGTCTCCTTTGACACTGTGTAGTTCTTTACACACAAGGCTCTCAGACTCTGAGTTTCAAACTCATTTGAGAGTTACCCTAAAATAAATGTCAGCATGACCTAATTGATGGAAATTTTCTCCATATTGATAATGGAGAGCATAATTGTGTATTGATTTTGACTGAATGGAAAAATATCCACAGTAAATGGAAGTGAATACTCTTATACATTGTACAGAATTCTTAAATACTTCATGCAATGTGCTCTTGAAGCCAGTGTATGCATTTGTTGGGGGGAGGTTTCTTAGATTCAAACAAATATCTTGTATTTATTAATGTTCTTTGGTGATAAAAATGCTCATTTTTCTAAATGCATTCTTTCCAGAAAAGCAAATACACAATAATGTTGCACATTGGTGTGACCCAATTATACTTTGATATTCAAAAGCATCTTTTRGGCTTCTTGTCTTTGATTCTAGAAAATATGAATTATAAATTGAAACATACAATAAACATAGATTGACAAAACATTCACCTTCCAGGAGCAACATCTTAAAGTAAGTCTCTTTCAAATAATGACAGATGCTTTAATCTCATCTGTGGAGCAAGTTAAATTTAAGGTTATATGAGAAGAGAAAGAAAAATCATGCATAAGCTTTTGCCCTTCAAAAACATTGAATGTGCACCAAAGTCGTATGACACATGGAGTAGCAGAACTGTTGTAGGACCACATGGTTTTCCCATTCTTTGCCTCCTTTTTGAGAGATCTGAACAAAACCCTGGGTGTTCTCAATCCTTTTTCAAAGCCGAAGGACACTTCTAGACATCAGTGGATGCACCAGTGGTAGTGGGGTGGCTCTTAGAAGGGGGATTATGAATTTACTGGAAACTTTCTGTGCCCACTGAGGAGATCTTTACTTTGGACATATTGAAATTTCGAAAGACAACTGACTTGTGAGACATCTTTGAAATCAATGGAAATAGAATGTTATTGTTCAGTTGGAGATGGGTTGGCAAAAATAGGCCTTTAATTGCTTCTGTATTCCATTCTAAGCTGTTTAACATCTGGAGAGTGATGAGGTTTTCAGTCTTCTTTTTGGGTAGACAGAGCCCATGCATTAACACAGTTGGAAAATTAACAACCTTCCTCTTAAAATAAAATTGGGGAAAATGGGTGTTTTTTTTTTTTTTTTTTTGTACAAAAGTCAACCAAATTTGGCTTTTGGATATTTGTGGTTGGTGAGAGACGTAACATTTTTAGGCTTCCTTTGAAATAGTTGAACTTTGCATGCAATTGGTAGTGGCCTTGTGAGAGTAAAAAAACAGAWAGTCTTATACTGAATAACTCTGTTCGATGTGTGTTTACTTGAATGAATTAATGGTACTTATTTCGTCCTGAGGTAATTTGTTAAGAAAGGTTATAAAATGTCCTTTACTATGGAGTATGTGTACAGCCTGCACATTTTTTAGATTCTCATCTGCAGCAGCTCTGTTTTCTCTGTTGCTCTATGTAATATGCTGAAACTGTTCAGCACACAAAATAGAATTATTAAATTCAAAATCTAACTGTACATATAAAATACTGATATTTTGAGTTAGATTTACATATAAGGATTATCCAGTATTCTTCAATTTAGGAAACTGATTCAACTGTCTTTAATGTAGTTTTACAATAATGGTGGCATGTTGCTATTTTGTTATCAAATTGATGGAACGCGAAAACTTCAGACTCTTTAATGATAGAGACACAGACATTTGCTGGTTGCATCATGGGCAAATTCATTTATTTCAATGTAAATGTCAGTGCAGTTTTGCATAGTTACATTCTAACTAAAGGTAATCAACCAGGTTTATAAAATGTGATGTGTATGTACATATGTGTCCTCTTAAAGATAGATGTTTTCCCAGATCCCTTTTTATACCAGTTCAAATTTGCAATTTACATTATATACATATACTTTATTGTTCTAAATAAAGATATTATGCACTGTCAAATAATTAGTATATTGCACTGTGTCAGTCCCATTTAAGACCTTTTCTAATCTTGTCATCATCTGGAAGAATTCTCTGTCAGAACAGCTTAGCACTTCCGTGAAATGACTGTATTTTAGATGAGCTGGATATATGCCCACTCCACATGCACTCCATGTTACACCCAGTATAATTTTATTCCATGTTAACAAATGTGTGTTACTAAACATATTTTTGCCCAACAAGTCTGAATGATATTAAATAATATGTTTTAGTCTTAACAAGATGGGTTGTTTCAGGATTTCATGCTACATTAACAGCTTATAGAACCACTTCCTTACTACTCTTTATGTAGCTGTTGATGATAAATTTTCTTCCAAAATTCAAACGTTTTTAAAATGGATTAARTTTCCCAATAGCTACAAAGAAGCATGTGCTAACACAATCAAGATTTGTGTCATTGCATACTTAAAGAGAACTATTATGTACTGGTGTGTAGTGGAAAATATGGTTAAATGAAAGCAGACTGCCAAAATTGCAAAGCATGAGGGAATAGAAGTTTAGCCCTCTTTTCCCTCCRCCATCCCAGGGTAGGTTATTTCAACCTATAACAGGAAAAATCCCAGATGTGATTATATTTTGCCCCTGCCGTGTGGCAAAACCCCACCATAAGCAAGMAGGAACTAAAAATACAGATGAGAATTTTCCCCAATCAGACATGAGCCTTGGGCTTCTGGCCAGTCACAAAATGCAGGTATAATTTTCATTCTCTTTTGGCAAGATATTTTCTTGAGCTCATGGAGAAAAATTCAGCTGAGATCACAAAAGCCTCTTTGTTTGTCACCAGTTCTGCTCTGCAGGATAATAGCATGATAGCAAAATTGGGCCAATTAAAGAAGCTGCGGRGCAGAATGTATAGCTTTTGTCATTTTAAGTGACTACCACAAGTGACAAAATGTCATCTTAGAAATTTCACCTTGTCATCGCCTACATTGTGAGTGATGATTATTAGGACCCCCCCAGGTTATTTAATCTGTCATGTTCTTAAAGTCTAATATTTTAGACCTTCCTTTTTCTCAGCAATGCTGTCATCATTAACAAAACACGGAACAGCCTTCACCTTTAGAAATGACAAAATGGGGATGTGTCTCAAAACCAATTAATAGMATCAGTGAAGGCAGAGACTTAGCATCTAAATTTTTGCAATATCTTCCCCAAGAATAAAGCAGTGAGTTCTTTGAGGCAATTGCTCCTTTGCCAGAAGCTGAGAAGAAAGTATCTCATTGACATGGTGGTACCACTTGGTTGTTTGTTGTTAAGTCTTGTTTCATAATGTTCCAGAGGAATCCAATTGCCTCAGTCAGTAAGCACTGGTTTTCTCGATTTTATTTTAAATGTTCTAACCTTTGGATCAAAGAGCTGTGGGTATGAAGAATGCTGTTAGGGGCTATAACTGGGTACTCACTGCATTTCAGATAAAATCACTGCTACATAGCAAATTTTAAATCGGCATCCTAATGTACCTATAACATAGTGTGCATGTGTGTGGGATGAGGGGTGCTGCTGGGGGTGGAGGAGAAGGCGGTGGTTTGATTTAGCAAATTTTACAGGTAACTGCCATGAACTTCAATCATATACCCTGAAGGAATGGCTACATGTTACAGAATCTCATCTCAAATCCTACCCTTGGCGAGAGGGAGCCTCAGGACTGCCAAGTTCCATGCACTGATCAAAAGGTTCGCTGGGCATCCCACGCTGTGCCGTGCTCCCCAGCCATTGGCAGCTCAGCATCGTCACCCTTCCTGCTCCATGGCTGCATGTGCCAGAAGCACGCACACCTACCCTGTCCCTGGGGG